ACTTGAGCATGCTGCATTTCACTGTAAATATCTCATTTTTAAATTATATAAGTGCTGCTACTCATTTATCAGGGATATGTAAATGTAGGTTTTATTGACTTACCACTGTATTGCATACCTGCGTTAATTTGGGAGCACGACTTCACATCTCTACATGTGAACTTGCCATGCCCTCCACCAGAGCTCCAGTGCCAAACCCATCACCTGCCCTTACCTCATCCTCTCAGATAATCAGTGTATTTTTAAGTCCAAGAGCTATTGCTGTGCCCGGTTTGCTCTCTGGTTTCTATCCCACAAATGAGACCATGTGCCGTCTTCCACTGTCTGGCTTATTTCACTTAGCAGAATCACCTCAAGACCCATCCCATTTTGTGCCAAAGGTACTATTTTATCTTTTGAAGTAGCTAAGTAGTATTCCATTGAGCACATATTCCATAATTTAAGGGGTAAGTAAATTTAAACCACAACAAAATACAATGCACCCACGATGATGGCTGATTTGTAAATACAAAATACTGCTGAGGGTGTGGGATAACCCTAATTTACACGGCTGGTGGCTGAAATATTACTTGGGTAAAATGCCTGGCAATTTCTTTTAATATAACTCTAACCTATGACCTAGCAATTTTACAAGTGTTTTCATCTCTAGTTGTGCACACAGAAACTTGCAGAACATTCCTATCAACTTCATAACAGCCGAGACCTGGAAAAGGCCCGGGTTCCCATCAATAAGTAAACTGTACTACACTCGTACGCGTGGTGCTTATCTCAGTAAGCCATTCTGCTGAAAGCCAGCCTCATACAAGTCCCAACTTTCGTTGCCTGTAGATGTTCCAGAACAACCTCTTTGAGGCCAAGCACCTTCTTAAAGTACAAGGTAACTTAGTGTGACGATAGCCAATGTTCTCTGCTCTTACCAAATCACATGGTACATCTGGTGTAAACCTGAACATTTCAGACTCAGATTCTTAAAACATCTACAAAATCTGTAAATATCAAGCTTGTTAATATGAATGTCTTAAGTTTCTTCAGGGAACCAAAATTGATAGGACGGATACTGAGGTTTTTGTAACAATTGGCATGGAGATGGGGTTACTTGCAGAATGACAATTTAGCTGAGCACAGGATGACAGAGAAAGGTGTAACATTCCTTTCGCATGTGACAAGATGTGTTCAACTGGCTACATAACCCAAAAGCAATACCCTCACATATCAGGACCTGCAAAGTAGGGGATGCCCCATGAATCTAAACTTAAGTCAGCCTGCACTTAACATGTCACAGAAACCAACATATACCAACCTGGCTTTCGTTTCTGTGTTGCCCAAAACAGTAAAAACTGCCCTTGCCTAAGGTCCCTCAGGAATAGTGCCCCCCAACCCCCACTTGTGAAGCACTGTTTATCACTTCACCATTTTCCCTTAAATAGGACATTGCTGTCATATGACAATGTAAAAAGTGAGTCAAGGAGTCAGATGTGTCTAGAAAGAACACTGGCTGAAAGAATAAGTTGCTTATACAGAAGCACACCAATTGCATGCTGATTTAACATAGCTCAAGGACTTGGTCCAAAGTATAATTCACTGCCAAGCTGTGTCAACTGACCTGTTTTTCCCCAAGCAGGAAATAGCAAAAGCATTATAGTACCTTCTTGGTATTTTCTTGTTCTTTGGTGTTATTGTTCCCATCTAATTTCATGTTAAGGATTAAATAAACTCATCTGAATTACCTGAAACTCACACCCATAACAAGGGAGGCCTGGGCTCAGGAACATGCCCTTCAGTTACTCTCTACATTCCCTGGCAACTGCTCAAGTGCTAACAGTGCATGAGAACTAACCTGGGGGAGGGGGCACAAGATGTTTAGCAGTATGGAGAATGCTCAGTTTTAAAAAATTTTAAAAGGACCCAGCACCACACAAAAAAATAAATGCATGTTATGTTTTATTAAGTTTCAAATACAAAACATTCCAAAATGAGAAAAGTGACCTATTTACCTAAATTATATATTCAACTAACAGTTAAACAAGGAAGACATTTTCTATTATCAGTTTCTTTTACAATCAGTATAAAGCCAGAATAACCAAGACTGGATTTTCTTCCCAACAGGAGCAGAATTAAGTCTGCTGGGTCAGTAAACTATATGCCAAACAGCTGTCTGGTCATTTAAGCACACGTAATTTAGTATTCATGTTCACTATGTTCAATCTCTATGGTTCCACACTATCTTCAAGATATCAAAAAAAATCAAGAGCCAAAAGGTCTTCAGAAACATAAACCCAGTAATTTAGATTACAGGACTGAGGAAGACAGCCATGTTGAGTGCAACAGCTATTTAAATTTGGTCAATACCCTCTTAATCTGATTAGAAGAGCCTGTCAAAGGAGGGTTAAATTTTGGGATTACTTTCCACAGTTGCAAATGTTAAACATGATAGTGCTGATATTTTAGGAGTAAAAAAAGGTCACACGGTCAAGTTAGATCTTTTAACCCAACAACTCAAATCTGTTTCCTTTGAGAACATTAGCTTTTATAGCACTGGCTCTTGTCTTCAATGCAACAAATTATATAAAGTTGTATCTCCATTCCTAGGACCGGAGGTGGGGATAAAGCAGGCTTACAAAACAATACAGTTAAACAAAAGCCAACTGGCCAAATTGTTTCCAGTTTGTAAGTGTGCTTTTGATCATCTTAGCAATGTGTCCAATTACCTTCCAGATGTTTCTCTTCCCTTGTAGTTTTAAGACTAAATTCCATTTCTGGATAAACACCAGAAAATGTTTCAGTTGCTAAAAATCAGACACTTCACTGGGTAGTTACCACTTATGCCTCCCATTTTTTCCTAATTTCAACATTCTGCCAGTGATAATTACGTAGTTTTAAACTGTGGAGTTGTCCCTCTATGACTTTAAAGAAAATGAAAGCCAAAGCTGGAAAAATCTAAAGAACCACAAGAACTTCCTACCTCCACTTACCAATTTCCTTAATTGCTCCCCTTTCTTCATCTGGTCAATTACTTATTTTAAGTAACTACCACTCCCTAATTAAGAGTGCCAACCAACACTGATACCTTCCCCTTCCTCAGATCCATGAGGCCTGGAAGGCAAAGATCTATTGCCTGCACCAAACCAACTGATAGGTACTGCTTATGCAACTGTCGTGCCTTATGGACAATCAGCATTCTTCTGCTTCAACAACTCTGGAAAATGAAGAGCATGTGATTAGTTCACAAGATAGTTTTTTTTTTTGCTAGAAATTAACCCCCCTTCTATTCTTTAAATACTCTTGCCATAACTGACCACAAAAATAACTGCTTTAAATCACAAGCTCTAAAAAGCAGCCATAAATATGCCCATTACACTTCCCATATGCATCACTTTGGCAATATTAAAATGACCTGTCATACCAATCAAGTTGTTACTCAAACTCTAAACTTGTTATAGTTGCGCTTCAACTGTCCCTTCAGTCAATCTGTATTGTGACTGGACTGTAACAGGCACTAATAAAAAGGGTGTCCTTTCACAAAATTCATGGGTGCCTGAACATCATACAATTAAAATTTGCTTACATACCTAAACGCTAGCCACATTACTCCAAGTAGTAATAGCTTATTGAGAGCATTCTAGTCCTAACAAGCTTCCCATATTCAACAGCTAACATTGCATGGTTGAACCAATGAAGGTTGTTTAAATTAACTTCACACTACAAAGGAATAATGTGCTAGACACTGCACAGCACCTACCCCCCAAATTAGGCATTATTCCTTTTACAGGCCACCAGTCAACATTATAGCCAGTTAACTTCCAACTTACCTTAGCTTTTGATTTTTCTTGCTGCCAGCTTTATCTAGTGTGAATAAATCAGCACTCCTTGACCATAATGACCAAAATCCTCAACCTGTAAAAATTAAATAGGTAACTAGTTATCTCTCTTAAGGAAATTCTTCAAAATTTGCCTATAACTGCCCTCTTTTCCAGAAAGAAAAGGCAAGTTCAGACTTGCAGCTTAACGTATTTCATGTTCTACTACTTCTTAAGTGGTGGAAGATTCACTGGCTTGGGATGGACTGGAATGGCTTAAATGGTTAAGTTGCATGGCTTATGGATTTTCTTTCTGTTCCAATGGTGCACTGCCATGTTAAATCCATAAGTTGAACGGACAAAACTTATTTGAAGGAATAAGTGGAGTATAAGGATTTTTAGTTGGAGGTCTTCAAGTTTACTACATTCAAGAGCATCTTTTTCAACTTCATGGCTGGACCTGGGTCATGCTGCCTCAGGTTTTGCTTTTTAAAGACCACTTGCAATAGATTTTCTCCATACAGTGTAGTTTCATAGAACTAAAAAACAAGTCAGGCATCCAACTAAATGTCAAGTTTGCAATGGCTTACAGGGGTAGAGAGGGGGACCCCAAACTTAAGCCATTTCCTACATTGACTAAAAGACTAATTTGAAAAACGTTAACATATGAAGCATGTTTAAAGGTCTTCATCAAAAATACAAAAAAAAAAAATACCCCCTCCCAAGCCCCAGATAGCTATTGATGAACAACAGCTGTATTAAGTAAGGCCTTTAGTGTCATACATGCTTTTTAAAAAAAAAAAAAATCCAAGTGTTGAATTTGGAGGACTTCTAATATGCTATCGAACACTTTGCTTTTCCAAAAGTTTTTTTTTTTTAATCTAGAAGGCATTTCCATTGCCATGACGTACAGTATGTTTCACTGTACTATGAGGAAGGTAAGTGTTCAATTTCGACTTAGACGGAAAAACTAGTTTGCTTTGCTTACCATCTTTGCTGTTTCACAGGCATTTGATGCTTTAAATCTGATGTGGAATGCTGATTGATTCACTTTTTAGAAGTCATAAGCCTTTGAGAAGTTGGAGATAACTTCATTGCTTATCTATTTTCTCCTTTGCAATCAAGCTGTTCCTTAAAAGTGAGACACTACAGAGTTGCAAAAATTTGAAACAGTAAGAGCAAGCACCGTTTGCAGCTTCATGGTTGGTTTTGGCCAAACTTTTTATTTAGTATTCTGTAGTTGCTTAACACACACTTAAATGGTCTTATTGGGGGGAGGGGAAGGGGAGGTTCTTGCAGATTCCCAAGGAAATTTCAGAAAGGCAAATATGGCCAGCATTATCCATTTGTTTCCATTTTGGGGGGGCGGGGGTTTACTGGGCATATAGCACTTTCCTTACATAAGCATTTGATCTCAGGTTTTTCATAACTGAGAACATTTGAGATTTCAGTTTGAAGACACTCTGAAATCCTAAGAGTAGCATACCCCAACCACCCTCTAGTAGCTAGCTTGCTTGTATAGGAAGAATTCATCTCTCCATTTTAGATGGCTAGATGTTTGTGGAAGATCTGAGAATTGCTTGCCTTATTTACTGGGAAAAATCGGAAAGTGGCCTTTAGGGACACTTTTACTTGGAAAATTACAACACCTAGTACACAAGTCAAGTCTTAACACATTAAACATTTGCTTGTTGAAAAGCAATGTCATAAAATCAAGTAAGATTAAACATGTTTTACTTTGCCTCACAAGAACATAAAAATTATGGAGGGGAACTTAACAGGAAATTTAAAAAAGGTAACACAATTTTTCCGTTTAGTAGTCCTTGGGTAGTTATGACAGAATAGGTTCCACTTTGTTTGTTTCTTTGAACAGGGATTTTGGTCCAAAGTTTTGTTTGTTTTTAATATCTGCTTCTGCCTCCCCCTCTATCAGATCGGCTTCCTCCACGGCCACCACCTCTTGGTGCTCCGCGGCTTGAACTGCTGTAGGAATCACGCGGAGGAGGGTACCCCCTTTCCATAGAAGGGGGAAGCCCTCTGTCTTGTCTGCCAACCCGATCACGACCACTTGAGTAGAGATCACTTCGGCTGCTTGAGTAACTGTCTCGACTTCCACCATATCCGTCACGTGAGCTGCTGTAATCATCATAGCGACTGCTTCCACCATAAGATGGCGGGGGCCCTCGTGTAGGTGGAGCACTACGTGAGTTACCTGCAGGGTCAACGGTCAGGTAATATGGCAACACTATAAATTGTATATATACAACATTTAAATCTGAATTTACAGAATTCTTGTATTAAACGTTTACTTTCTCAACTGGGAGGTTTTAAACTCTTGCCATTGCTGGCCATAAACAGGGATTTGCTCATCTGCTGAGATATGGAAATGGATAGTTTTAAATGTTTGTTTGAAAAGACTGAAGACGGTGTGTGTATTTCAAGAGGATATTCCAGCTTGTTATTTTATAGTAGATACTCAGCCACTTTCCAGTGATAAGTTGCAATTTTGAGCTGTAGACTTTCCTTCATATTGCAATGGTAAACATTTGATCTTGTTAATAAAATTTTTAAATTGTATTTTCACTGTTGGGGGAAAACACATAAGGCTGCCAATTTAAGCAAGCAAAATCCCCTCCAAAGCAAGCAAACAGCCTCAAAAAGAAAAAAAAAAAACTTAGGAAAAAAAAGAAAAGCCCTTCACAGAACTAGGAAAAGCCCAGCTGATAGTTACCCCCTTTAAAAGCAAGCAAACATCCCTTAAAAGCAAGCACCACACAGCCTAATAAACTGGCTCATGAACCTAAAAACTCAAGCTGGTGATATTCAAGACCCTCAACCATCATCTTACCATAACTCTCATATGAATCTCTGTAGGAACCTCCACTTGGATGATCTGAATAGTCACGATCACGACCATAGCCATCTCTATCACTAGATTAAAGAAAAGAGCTGTAAACATCAGGGAAATCAATTTTAACAAAAAAAAAATTTTTTTTTCTTTACAGCAAGTTGTGGCTGCAGTTACTCACCTATAGCCTCTTGATGGGTAGTCATCACGTGAACTGGAATGACCATAATCACGGTAAGTATAATCTCTGGGCGGGGGCGCATAATCTCTTGTGTCTCGAGAACTCGGGTAATCTCTGCTTGAATAGCTACAGAAACACAAGTAACTTGGTTCATGAATTTGATGAGCACTCCCTTCATCCTTAATTATTAATGAGAAAAAAGAGCTACCATAATTTTCTGTTACCTGTCTTTAGTAGAATATCCATCATCTCTTGGGGACAAATAAACATCTCTTCGAGAGGGCAGGGGTTCCCTTCGAGGTGGGCCTCCATAGCTATCTCTCCCACGGGATACAGGAGCTTAAGGGGAGGAAAGAAATCATTTAAGAAATATACGAACAAATTAAAATGTGTATAACATTCAGGTGATGAAAAGTAGTTGTTCAATTGTGGTGGTATGGAGTCCAAAGTTCCCTATTCACAATGCAATTTTTTGTAGGGCTCATCAACTACATATACCCATTAATGACCTAAAATCCAAGTTTCAAGCATCATTTTTAGGATTCATTTCCAAGTCCTTTCTGGTGATGAGATAGTTATAAATGGAGCGTAATTTACCTCTTCCTCCCATTCCACTGCTGCTTCGAACTGGTCCTGAAGGGGCAGATCTTTTAGGAGGAGGACCTCCACTTCGTGGTGGGGGTCCTCTTTTTACTGGCAGTGGTCCCCTGGAAGAACTCATATTAAAATTCATGGAATATCCACCATCATCTACATCAAACAGAAGAGAAAACATGTTAATATTGAGCAGAAAACAAAAAACTCTTTGAATCAGAAGTCTGCTCATTTCTATTTGGTGTGGGAATCTTTGCTTTAGTTTCACTTGTACAGGACTAACATGAGGTCACTGTATATATAAAGACCAGGAAAACAAAAGTGAAGGTAGCCTAAAGTTACTTTGGGCAATCAAAAATTATTTTTCCCTAAAGAATGGACTAGTATGCAATTCCATCTTTTAAAAACACTAAATTAAGGATGTCTTCTTTTTTCTCTTTAAGTTACAACTCCTTTGGCGGATGACAAAGTTTTCTCAAGAAGCTAGAGCCTTTGGGCGAGGACTGAAACCAAAGCACACATTTGGTGTGGGTTTGCCCGAACTTACACACTAAAGCAAGAAGAAAACCAGTCATTACCCATGTGCCCTCCACGTGAGGGAGGACCCCTGGCTCCTCCACTTCCTCCTCTTCCACCTCTTAGGCCTCTTGGAGGGCCTCTGCTTCTTGGAGGTGGAGGTGGTCCACGTCTCCCACTTTCAAAAGACGGTTTAGTAGCTTGTTCTACCTTGATGGCTTTCCCATCTAGGGACTTAAAAAGTTAGGAAACGGTTAATTACATCAACATTTAAAAAACATGCAGACTCAGCACACATTGTGAAGCCAATGTCCTTCAGAATGAAGTTTAAGTTTAGCTCAACAAAGTATCTAAAGAAAATCTACAGTGGTACTTTTTCACTTATTTAAAAAAAAAGCCTCAGTCTTGAACCAAAACCTAAAGTAGGGAGGCTGCAGGCAGTGCTGATTTGGCAACATTTGACAGAAGGCCTGACAACAATGTATCAAAACTAGCTACAGACACTTCAGTTATTAATGGAGTGCACACAAAGCATCATGACCTATTCTAAACTGAAAGACTCTTGCTAATGTAAGTAACTTTGACTACAATGTACACACCAAGTACACACTCAAAACACTGCTTGAACCAGACCTGCACTGGGAAAGTAGTAAAACCTCACCTTTCCATTCATGTCTCGAGCTGCATCCTTAGCATCTGCTGGGCTCTCGAAGGTGACAAAAGCAAACCCTCTTGATTTGTTGGTTTCCCGATCTTTCATCAAGAGCACTAAACAGGTAGTTTTTTTGGGGGGAAGGGAAGAGAACTATTTACTGTACAGTTAGAATTAAGTAAGAAAAGCCAAGCGTGTAAGAAAGCAAGCTCAGAACTTCTTAGAGGACAAAATTATCATTTCAGATGATCAATGCAATCAAATTCATCATAGCTTAAATTTGTTAATTTTAACAACCCTATTTATAACTGCAGAAAACTCACCTTCCACTATTCGCCCATATTTGCCAAATACTGCTTCAAGGGCTTTCTCATTTGTTTCTGTGTTAAGCCCGCCAATGAAGAGCTTTCCTGGGCGATCTGCTTCAACCATTTTCCCCCCGTGGGTCTGTTGAAAAAACAGTATTACTTCCCTGGAAAAAGTTCCTCAAGTTTATCAAGCACAGTATTTATTGGAGCGCTTTGTCTGGTTTTCCTAAAATCATTATCGCATAATACCCAAAGCCAGCTTTTCTAAGCCTCAGCAGGAAACCAATTTAAGCAGTTTAGCGATAGCTCAATTTACATTAAATTGGTTAAAAGCACCAACGTTTCCTTTCACCTTTAGCCCACCACGGCTGTTTTCATCAACAGCCCCGCCAACATCTGAAAGTGATTTGCGTTCTCATTCTAGATTTGCTGCTTCCAAGATAAAATCATCACATCCCAATCATCCTAAAGGCTTTCAAGCGTACCGACTCATTCAAGGTCACCGGGAAGACGCAGGTCTTTCACATCAAGCCCGTTTCCAAGAAACCTGCCTGCCTCCCTTCCTAGCTAATCTAAGCAGGAAGGTGAAGTTTGAGTCCAGTTACGCCTCCCCTCCTGCACCAGCCCCCGCGCCCCGCGGAAAAGGCTATGAACTCTAAAAGAAGTATCCAGATCATTTGTTCCCAAATAACGGAGCGTGGCAGCGCGCACTGTCACACTCCGGGGCTGCCGCAGAAACCAATTAGAGCCCGTCATTAAAAAACCGCGTGGAAAAGACAAAATGGCGACACTTGGACTCAGCCCAGCAGCAGCGATGCCGGCCTGGGGAAGAACTTGCACCCTCAGCCGCGGCCGGGCCGCCGTCCAGGGCCTCCGCTCCTCGCCCAGGCTGCCCGGCGCCGGCCCCCGCGCGCCCAGGCTCGGGGGAGCGCACGGCCAGCCCCGGCAGGCTCCGCGGGGGCGCGTCCCCGCGCCGCTCCAGCCCCGACCCCCGCCGGCCACCCCCGCCGGCCACCGGCGAACTCCCTCGAGACGCCGGCGACAGGACGGAGCCCCACGTGCCCGATCCTTCGACACCTCGCCTTCCCCAAATAGGTCGGCACCTCTGGGTTCTTAAAATGGCGCCCGCCACCCCCGTCTCCAGGGAGATAATCCCAAGTTCTAACGTGGCAGGTGTGCACGAAACGCCGGCTCTGGAAAGGCCCCACGTACCTGCAGGGTGACGACGGGGCTCACGCTCCCACGAGCTCGCGGGCAGGGGCGCTTCCTAGCAGCGCGGCACGCGGGAGAGGTGGCGGGCGCGAGAACGGAAGGAGAAGCAGCTCGCACTGCTGCGCAACGAGGGCGAACAAAGGAGACAGCAAACTTTATACTGCCCGGGAACGAGGCTGCAGGACCCGGATGGAAACGGAGCGGAGAATTTGAAACGCCGGGGGCGTGGACAGACGTTCCCAGTGTCGCCATTGGTTTCCTCGACTGTCGCTCACGCTTGGCTCCGCCCGTTTCCCCCGGCCCTGCGCCTTCAGCCCGGGCTAGCTTTCGAACCTTCCTCCCAACCCCCACCGGGGCGCCCCAAACCCGCGTTTTTGCTCTCCGCTAAAATGGTGCACGAGCTGCCTTTCATAAAGGACTGGACTGTGTCGTGGTCTGGTGGGCCAGGCACGGTGCTGAACTTTACACCCATCCACTCCTTCAGCTCTCACAACAAAGTGATGAAGGGGAGCTGCTCTTACTCTCCCCATTTTGCAGAAATGGGTGACAAAGAAGTTTGGCTGTTTAGATATATTTTCCAAAACGATCTCGAACAAGATTTTTTTTTTCTGAATGGGGGAATTCTGATTACTAAATACCAGGTGGGAAAACAAACCCTACGAAGCAGCTCATATATTGTAAACATACAACAATTCCTGAACATCTAAATGGCAGGCTCTGGGCTTGCACATGAGGATGCAACCTAGAGCAAGCGAGACAAGGGCAAGATGCCTCGTGGGTAAGACTGCCAGATGTAGCGAATAAAAATACTGGCCGACCAGTGAAATTTGGATTTCAGATAACACATAATTTTTGCAGTGTAAGTATGTCCCACTAGCTAGCCAAAAACAAACAAACAAACTCGTCGTGTTTCTGAAATTCAGCTTTAACGGGGCATTCTGTATTTTATCTGCCAATCCTCCTTGGGGTGGGGAGAATTTCAAAATTCTTTAAGATTTCATTCCTTTAAAATTTAACGGAAAGAACTACAGTTCTGTTACAGGGCAGGGAGAGGGGCAGCCCAAACCCCGCAAACCTGCCTATTCTAAATGGGTTCTGCCATCCGCCGCATCAACACAAAACATAGGAGACTTTAATGGGAAGGAACTTTAATAAAACTAGGAAACAAGACAGGTAAGGCAAAGAGTCTAGTTTCTAAATGAAGCACCCAAAGTGACCCGTCCCCTCGTGGGTAAAAGTCCATCCAAATGGGATTGGCCCAGAGCAAGGCCCCAAAGCCTGCCCCAAGTCTAAAGCATCTTCCATTGGGGACCCACAGAAAAGGGTCAGAAACTACCAGATAAGCCCGGAAGGAAAAGAGCAAAATCAACATCAAAATAAAAGCTGCCATTGTCACCTTCCCACAGGTCTCACCCAGTCCACGACCAAAAGACAAGCTCAGTTTCTTCACGTGTCTCTCGGCTCCATGCGCCTCCTCCAGGCTCCTTCTGGCTCCATCCTGCTTCCTTTCTCAGTCTCTTCTGCAGCTTCTCTTCTTCCTGCTCAGCTCCACCCTCCCTTGGGTGGGGCAGGGAACCTCCCCTTTTCCTGGGGACCACCCTGTTACAGTTCAAGAATTGTATGCTGTGACAAGGAGGTAAAGAGGGTGCTGTGGATGGCAATATTGGAGAGCCCAAATTGGATTAAGATGTTAGAGAAGGTCTATCTGAAGAGGTGATGTTACAGATCAGATCAGATCTGAAGGGAGAAATCAACCTTCGGAAAGCTGGGGGTGTGGAGGCACCGTTCAGGACAAGAAGAGCACAGTATACCCAAAGTGGAGGGAAACAGCGGCAGGTGTCATGGCACAGAAAGAGATCCAGGGCCATAAGAATTTAAAGGGCCTAAAAAGAGGCAGCCAGAGTATGCAGAAACTTGGAGCCCATTGAAAGATGGTGAGGGTGGGGTGGGGGTGGTAAGTCTGCAAGTAAGGTCACATAGAATTAGGGTGACAGCAGGGTCGAAGTGGAAGAAGGAACAATTCCTAGGTGTATATGACAGATAGCTTGGACTGGTTTTGCTGATAGTCACGTGGGAGAGGGCTGGAGTAGAGCTGAGGAAACAGGAAGCCATTGTGGAGGACTTGAGTATTTAACAGTAGTAGGTGATGGCCATTTACCAAAATGATTGCAGAGGAATTCAGGATGTGGGGGCGGAGAAATCGCTGTTCAGAGCCCAGCTCTGGGCTACTTTGTTGCTTTAGAGATGGTAACACAGCATCAGAATGAATGAGACTACCAAAGGAACGCGAGCCCAAGAGCACACAATGGAAACTGTAAAATATACACTGTATATGGAGAGAGAATAAGTGGAAGGAAATACCTAACATGTTACCACTTTATCTTGGGCGGTAGAATTTGTAAACAGTTGCCACTTCTCTTCTTTACAGTTGCAATTACTCTGCCACTGGTGAATTATAGTATATGCCAGGCAGGTGGTTGTAAATGATGCTCAGGTCATGGGTAGAAGCCCCAAGGAGCTTTGGAGCCAGCTCTGAATTGTTAGCATTAATGGTGGGAACAGTACTCAGTAGGGCAACGTATTTGCTCTGGTGCTTTTCTTCCAGCCAAGCAATGATAAGTAAACCGAAAGTCATGTCAACTGGCCTTCAGGATGAGTTATGTAAAGTATTGGCTCTGGCAATGAATGGGAATTGGCCAGGTTGGCAAAAACCACTTAAATGCCAGGTTCTAAATGCCAGGCTCCACAAGCAGAGTCTCCAGGCGGAACTGGGAGAAGTCCCTCCTGCGGGCCTCTAGGCCTTCTTTTTCTGTCTCAGATCCAGATAGAAGAATCTTCACTAGGCTGTGAGGTTAAGCCAGGTCTCCCCCCAGTCTAGGACAAAAGAGCTGATTCCACCAGACATGGCCTCATCTCCCAGGATCTCTAGAAGGAAGCATGCAGCCCTGTAAACCACATCAGTCTGGACTTTGCAGTAAATGCCCAAAAGTGTGGGGGAGGGAGGATTAGAGGGTTCTAGGGGTGTGGGGTGGGGACCAGCACTTTCAAGGACCAGCAGAGAGGGAAGGGGCAGGGGCATGGGCTAGTGGAGGCAATTGTTGGTAATCTTCAGTATGGCTGCAGTAGAGTTGGAAGAAGCTGGAGGCAGAGCGCCTGCACAACAGACAAACCCTTTAAAGAGAGGGAGTAGATTTCATCTTGAAGAGATCGCTCGTGGCAATAGTCTGAAGACTGTATAGGGGCAGGAGGAGCAGCAGTCTGTATACTGTATTGAGGGAGGGAGGGCCAGGAAGCAGGGTATTGACGTCATTCTGGAAAAGGGGATGTGGGCTAGCAGAGTGCAAAGGACTCTGGCCAACAGACTGGGATAAGCAGGTCTCACACTGCCCAACAGTAATTTCTAGATCCTGTCTCTCCCCTTCAGGGGTCTTCTATATTTCCTCCTTGGCTTCTTTCTTCCTATTTCCTTCTTTGGATCATCAACTGTACTAATTTCTCTTTACTGTATTTTTCCATTAGCCTTTTGACTCTCTTCAGATGCCATCTCCATGATGGATAAACTGAACCAAGCAATACTATTTTGCTACTAAGTTCTCTTGGGATAGAATCAGTGCTGAATCAATCGAGTGACTTGCAAGCTCCTTTTATGTTCCATGGTACTGAGATGGGTGCATAGTGATTATTTAATGAATACCAATGGCCTAGTCTGAAATCTGAATGTTCTTGCCAGGGGCTCACATTTTTTTTTTTAACTAAAAGAAAAGCAAAAACAAAACAACAACAAAACCAAAACACCCTAGTTTTAACAGCTTCAAACAGCTAAATAATTAACAAGTTAAAACTCAGTCATCAAGCTCGGCATCACTCCAAGACAAGTAAATTGAAGCTTCATAGTCAGGCTTGTGTTCTTACATGAAGGGCACATGTAAGGTCATTCTGCATCCAGTTCTGCCCATTTTTCTAAATTACAGAAAGGCAAACCTGCCAAGTGCTCTTAAAAAGTCTGTTATCTGCTATGAAACCTAGGAGGAAGGGAGGGGAGAATCTGACATGATTAAAGATTGGGGGACCTCCCTGGTGGCCTAGGGGCTAAGCCTCAGCACTAGCTGTTACCACTATGGCCTGAATTCCATCCCTGGCCAGGGAGCTAACTCACATACAGTGCAGCAGACCTCTCCTGTCTCACCAGCTACTCCCTTTAGCAGTGTATTTCAGTAAAATCTGCTTGTTCTGCTCCCCACTCTGTCTCTGGTGAATCTTCTCATTCCCTGTACCTCTGGCTTGCACCCCAGTTCTTCTACGCAAAAAAAAAAAAAAAAAAAAAAAGAGAAAGATTGGGAGACATTTCAAAGTAGTCTAAGTCACCACTGTCCAGAAGATACCCTACTTATTTACAATAAACGAAGAATAAAAGCTTTTTAACCAACATTCAACTCTGATATCTATAAAGGAACTGACTGAATGAGTGAAGGTATATGCTGTATCTTTTCCCACAATGCAGGAGATGATACATTTTTAAAAAACTTATTATTATTTTGTTGTTTTGTTTCTTTTCCTTTTTTGGGGTGGGGGAGATGATATGTTTTAACCAAATTTAATACTTGACCGAAGTGATGAACTTTTCAATAAATTGTGTCGAGACAATTAGAGGGCCTCCCTGGTGGCACAAAGGGTTAAGCACTGCACTATGAAGCAATCTGGAGTCTGCCTGTTCTGCTCCCCACTCTGTCTCTGGTGAATCCTCTCACCCCCTGCCTCTCTGGCCTGTACCCCAGGTCTTGTATGCATAAATAAATCTTAAAAAAAAAAAAAGACAATTAGAGAGCCATTTGAAGGTGGGGGAGGGAAGAGGGAATCTGGTTTCATACCACAATTTTTTTTTTAAGATGTATTTATGCATACAAGAATGGGGGCACAGGCCAGAGGTGCGGGGGTGGGGGGTGAGAGGAGTCACCAGAGACAGAGTGGGGAGCAGAACAGGCAGACTGACTGAAATACACTGCTGTGGGGAGCAGCGGGCGAGTCAAGGAGAGGTCTGCTGTGCCATGTGGGTTTCTCCCTGGCCAGGGATCGAACTTGTGCTGCAAAGTCTGCGGTTAGCTTCATAGGTTGCGTCTGAACCCCTTGCACCACCAGGGAGGCCC